GACACGAACTCATCATTTCTGATTGCTGCATAATATTCCATGGTGTATATGTGCCACATTTTCCCAATCCAGTCTATCATCAATGGGCATTTGGGTTGATTCCAGGTCTTTGCTATTGTAAACAGTGCTGCAATAAACATTCGTGTGAATATTTATATTTTATAAACACGTGTTACTGGCCACGTTGCAGAGAGCTTTGCATGTATTACCTAATTAATAATTTCATTATTCATTAAATTTTCACTTTAACCCTATGAAATAGTATAAGTGATAAAACAAAATGGAGAATGCCTAAGTTTAATATAGTGATAACTTGTACTGATTTTAAAATTTAATTTGGCTACCTTTCCAATTTTTGCTGTTCAAGCTTTCGATCAGTGCTTCCCAAACATTTGGCAGCAAAAAATCATTGGGTGAACTTGTTAAAAAGCAAATTCTAATTTCATAAGTGCCATGGCTTGGATATAGTTTACTTCCTCCTGCCAAAGCTCATATTGAAGTTTGATCCCCAGTGTGATGGTGTTGGGAGGTGGGGCATAGTGGCTGGTGTTTGGGCTGTGGGGATGAATCCCTCATTGATAGCTTGGTGCTATTTTCCTGGCATTGAGTGTGATTCTGGTTCTCATGAGACAGGATTAGTTATTTTGAGAGTGATTTGTTAGAAAGCCAGGACACCTCTCAGGTTTTCCCCTCTTTTCATGCGCCTGTTTCTAATCTGATCTCCTCAGCCATATTTTGATGCAGCACAAAAGCCCTCACCAGAAGCCAAGCAGTTATCAGCATCATGCTTCTTGTCCAGCCAGCAGAACTGCCAAATAAGCCTCTTTTCTTCATCAATTACCTAGCCACAGATACTCCTCTACAGCAACACAAATTAAGACAGTAAGTCTCAGGTGGCGTCAGAAACGCTGCACTCAAACAAGCTCCCACAAACCATTCTTTAAAATATAAGACTTTAGGTCACTGCTTTGTCCATCAAGCTAAGTCCAATTCTTAAAGGTCCTTATACTGATTTTACATTAATTAAAAATGAAGTAGGTATTAGTAATTAAATTAATTAATTCGGTAACCAGATACACACTTGTTACTTGATAACTTAGACTGTGCAATAATAGATGATTCTAAACTTTTTACCTTATGACTATGAGTCAGGGTCCATGTCCTATCAGTGTCTCCAGAAGTCGGTTCATCTTTTCTGGCTTTATACAAACGCTGTACGACACTACCATTTAGACACTGCTCCATGAGGTATTGAATTTGCTCCAGCCTTAAATTAGTTTTCTATAATCATAAATTTAGTGGCTTTAAACACTACAAATTTATTGTTTTAGAGTTCCATGGGTTAGAACTCCAGTGCGCTTTAGGAGAGGTTCTGTTTCCTTGCTTGTTCAGGTTGTTGGCAGAATGTTCCATCCAGCTGGTAGGACTGAGGTCGCTATTTCTGCTGGTTGTCAGCTGAGAGCTGTTACTAGCTCCTGGAGATTGCTTGCACTCTTCAGTTTGTGGCCCCCTTCCTCTATCTTCAAAGCCAGCAACAGCTAATGGAATCTTTCTCATGCCTAAAGTATGTCCTGCCTCTTCTGTCACATCTCTCTAACTCTCTCTTGCACACTCACCAGAAATGATTTCTGTTGCTAAGGATGTATATGAGTAGACTGGGCCTATTTAAGTAATTTAGGATAACCTTTCCATTTTGAAGTCTATAATCTTCATCAAATACGCCAAATCCCTTTCTAACATGAAAATTCATATTCAGATTTTCAGAATTCCCAGAATTGTCACATGCACATATTTGAGGGACTATTATTCTAACACACAAGCCTGTTGTGTGGGTTAGGCTTATTTTAGCTGGGTTTATTAGCTAAAATGAGAAAAACTAAGTGAAACAGAAGAGGAATATATTACAGGTTCTAAGATAGCCTTCAGAAATTCTAGGAGGACCAGAAAACTGGGTTTAGAGATTGTGCAGCCAGATTAATATCTAAGCCAACCACGAAACTATTCCCAGGCTTGATTTCAGTACAAGCATTGCAAACCACGAATATGGGACCCTAAGCCCAGCCCTTCTGCAACAGTTGTTTCTCAGTCTTAGTGTGTGTGCCAATCTCTGACATATTTACTAGCTATGAATTCCTCAAAAAGCCTGTTTCTTCTGTTTTTTCCCTGCAGAACACTGAAGTATTGTGGGGGTACATTTCACTGAGGAAAACAAGTAAATGTCTGTCTTGGTCACCAAGAAGGTGGCGAATTGAATTTTGGATTTTTCTTTAGTATCAGTTTTGCCAAATATAGGGAAAAAAAGAAGTTTTACAAAGTTGTGATCTATAAGTGTGATCTATAACCTATGTAATCCTTCTTAAAAAAAAGCTCTGAGGAGGCTAGTCCTCACCTGGCTCTTCCTCTCCTTCAGCACATAATAAGACTGCTTCTCCAAGACTCTCAGAAGGCCTAGGGAGTTCCACCTACACTATGTTAGTTAATATATTAATAGTCATGGTTGTATTTTGAAAAGATTATGACATTTAAAGACTCAATAACTCATAGAATCATAAAAGTAAAGTCTCACCTATTTCTTAAGAGTTCTTATAATACTGCAGCAGGGATAATTTAGGTTTGTTTGTTTTTTATGTTCATGGAATTTGATGTCAACTCAAGGTGTTTTTCTCTAGTCATAGGGCTCTGGTGCCTGGATTAAATGACCCTAACAATAACCTGTGTTGTATACATTATTTTTAGGTTATAAATCACATTAATACATTAATTTTTGCTCATGTCTAATATCTAGAAATTACTATGACCAGTAGTGCACTCGTATGTTGATATAGTTGGGGGTTGGTTTCAGGATGCTGCATAAACACGAAATTGGTGCATACTCAAATCCCACAGTCCACCCTGTGGAATATACGTATACTAAAAGTTGGCCCTACACATAGGTGGGTTTGCATCCCACAGAGATTTAATTTGCTTGGTTGAAAAAAAATCTGAGTATAAGTAGACTATATAATTGAAACCTGTGTTGCTTAAGGGTGATCTGTATATTTATAACTATCTTTATTTTACTGTAGAATAATCACTTGATTAAGTGTTTAAATTGGGATGACCTTGATCTGAATTCTATCTCTGTCTCATTTTCTGCTAATTGGGGTGCTAACATTTATCTCATGGAAATTTTCAGAAATAAAAGGGATAAAATGTATATCACTTGGTTGCTATTAATACAATGAAATTTTGAACCAAAAGTGTATTTCATATTTAAAAGAAGTTCTTAACAGTGACTCAGTTGATTATCTGATGATTCAGATTTTGAAATGGGAAACCCTCATGTCTGCTCATATTTCATCCAAGATTTTTCATTTAGAACAAGACAGGCATTTCTATCTAGACTTGAGGCTACAAAATGTGGGGGGGAAAGAAGGTTTTCCTGGAAAACCTAATTTTTCCTCTGAGAATTAAATCAGTGGCCCTAGCCATGAACTGTCTAGAATCATATGTAGTATAAACTATAACCTAAAGGCATTTCCATAAACAGCAAACCGTGAAATCATGCCACAAGAATGACTGACTTATTTGATCAAGCTACTCATTTCACACATAGTTTATTTAATAATAATGCTTGAGTTCGCTGAGAAATATATCCACGAATTTGATGCTTATTCCTGCCATATTTCAGATTAGTCTTTGCACATGAAGTCAGCAGTTTGGTTTGAATTCCCTTTCTTCCCAGTCACTAGCTATGGACCTATGCATTTATTTAATTAATAAGCAATTCCTTACTGAGGGACTGTCTACCATGGAGGGAGGTGCTGGTGCTGTGGTTCACATGGCATTCACCATTCCCGTCTTCACAGAACTTTTAATCATGGGAATAGTCATTGCTGAATGACAGCCATTAAACAACCAATTACACAATTATTTCATTACAGTTTGAACGAGAGCTACTAAAAGAAAATAATATAACTTTCACAGCAAACAAATTCCTAACTGCAAAATTTTGAAAATATGATTGATTCAAAAGAAAATTATGCCCTATGTTACTCATTCTAAAAACAATAAAGTATACACTGTATTAAGTTTAGTGATGGTTAAACGATGCCCAGTAAAAGAGGTTGCTTTCTAGGATTTTTTGAGTAAGGACTTTTATTAAACATCACTTATAACTTGAATGTTGCTCCTTTCAATTTATTATAAGTAGTTAGAATTTATTCCAAGCCACATCAACACATAGTCTAAAATAATAACTTTATTGACAATGTGCTGTAACAATTGTCATCTGGTTATCATCAGTGATCTATGATGATTGGGCTGATAGTGTTAATGCTGATCTTTTAAAGTGAATGCATCAATACTAATATACTCCAAAAGAGTACTGGCCAATTAAACATTCAATGAATTTTATCCTAGTTTGGTGGCTCTGCATTTCACTATATTTTAATTTCTCAACTGTTAATAAATATAACTTCATCTTGTTGATCTACCTGTCATCAAATAGCACTGCAATTTGAGATGCCAGAATTTAGCTTCTTAAGTAAGTATCTTTAGGATGACCATCTCAATAACAAGATATATTTTTTTTTTTTTGCAGGAACGAAATATTACTTACACTCCACCTGGAGTAATTTCATCAACTCAAATCTATCTTATTGCTTATAAAAATAATCCTTACACCATGAAGAGTTTGTTTAAGAAAGCAACATTCTTTATCACTCTGTTGAGAAATTTTAGGTAAGTCCGTGAATCCCAGAATCTCTTTTCAAATTAAGTTGCTATTACAAAATCTAATCATTCATGTCATCACTCGTAGTGATTCAACACATTAAAACTATAAGCTCTCTGGCACTAACACCAAGAATCATATGCTTCCCTTTAACACCATAGCATCTTATTTTGAAGCTGTTACAATATTCCTGGAAATGGTTTAGTTTGTCTCTGTGATACATTTTCGTTAAAAATACCTCATGTAGAATAAGTCATACTGATTCAAATGATGTCTGCTAAAGACATTAACACACATAGCCAATAAGCTTTAATAGTCTTGTTAATACAGAGTGTTTCACTCAATATATTGGCATCACTTTACTGACAAAAATATTCTTTTGATATTGCAGAAAATATTCATCATCATTTAATGTCACTTAAATATTTTGCATAATTCAAGATGTTAAACAAACCTTTCTTTTAAAGGAAAGTAGCACTTGGCTTTTGTGATTTTTCTTAAGCATTCAAAATAAAATACTCTGACTTTAGGAAAAAACTATCCCTACCACTTCTATTTGACAGCATAGCCATATTCATAAAATGATTAAGATTCAGGTCGGTCCAAAAGAACAGAATTAGCTTTATAAGGACATGTTTGGATAGTATTTTTTCCATCATGATATTGCACAAAACAAATACACATACTTCTTAAGTCATTGTAATAGGCATGAGAGAAAAGGGAGTTAAAATACCTATCTGTCATAGTAACTTTTAATGATAAAATCTTAGTAATGGGATTCTGTCCAATGAGTTTTTGTGACTCTCAAGTTCTGCATACATTTGATAAAATTTGCTTGTTTGCATCTTGATTTTTCCGAGGCTTTCTTTCCTGGGCAAATCTCCAGATTGGCAAGCTCAAGCAGATTTTAAAATAGCCTTTCCATATATCACCCACACTTGTCCTGCTTGGGGATGGATTGACGTCTGAGCTTTGAGGGTTGTAACTAAGCTGATTTTCTCTGCAGAAAAGTTCATTTTACTTCAGGAGTTGCAGATACCTTCCTTACCTCCCACTAATTCAGTGTTTTCCAATTGTTCCAGCCTGCTTCCAACAGCTCAAGCACACTGTTCAAGGTTCACAGTAAGAGGATCCCATGAAGAGCATCTTTTCCAAACTCATTCTTCACTCTTGACATGTTATGTAACTTTCCTACATGGACAAAGTATAGGAATATATTTATTTTTCTTTCCAGTTCAGATAGAGAACTGTTAGACTGGTCAATTTGACTTTTGTTTCTAACATTTAAACATTTCGTTTATTTTTATTATTGAGGTTTAATCTTTATAATCTAATTTGTTACATAATTTAAAAATTCTTGAACAATCTCAATCCAATCCATGTGTTTTGTTCTTTTCTAAGAGCAAAGCTTTCTAAAAAAGCACAGAGAAGGTAGAAGAGGATCTCAAAATAGAAATTAAAAGTAGGAATCTAAAACCTGGCAGCACCTATCACATGCAAAATGCAACTTAATATATTTCATTTGGTCCTGATTAGCACACCACTAATAGCACACCACTAATGAGGCCTAGATCATAGACTCATAGAATGTTAGAATAGACCTATCAAGAATCTGTAAGCTGGTCTAGGTCAAAACTTCTATCTCTTCACTTTAAAGAAGAGGAAAATGATTCTCATAGAGTTAAATAACTTGGCTAAAGCCAAATAACCACTTACAGAACAAGTATTAAACCCAAGTTTTCCTAACTTCTGTGCCATTGCACTTCTTTCTAAAAATGTTAAGTATAGCTTATGCAACCCTTTATTAACAGCAAAAGCAGTCCCACATACATGCTCTTTGACAGTGTATCAAGATCATCATCTTCATATTAAACAGCAAGCTTTACTGCACGCTGATTAAGAGAAGGACTAAAGCACACGATTTTCCACTTGCTCATTAGGTTATATCTAATCATTTTTCACTGTTTTATTTCATGGCCAAAACAAGAAATGTGGTAAAATAGTATTTAGTTCATATACGTTTCCAGTAAATATGTATGAAAATGGTTTAAATGTGTATTCAAATGTTTCAAACAGTAGTTTCAGTGATGATAATTTGTTTGCTCTAGAAAATAATGTAGTGGTTGGTAAAGCAATTTTGTTTTGTTTTGTTTGTTTTTTTAAGAGGCAGGGTCTCGCTATGTTGCCCAGGCTGGAGTGCAGTGACTATTCACAGGCGCCATTCACTACTGATCAGTATGGGAGTTTTGACCTGCTCCGTTTCCCACCTGGGCCGGTTCACCCCTCCTTAGGCAACCTGGTGGTCCCCTGCTCCTGGGAGATCACCATATTGGTGGCCAAAGTAGTGCAGACACTCAATCGGCATAGCGCACTGCAGCCCAGAACTCCTGGACTCAAGAGATCCTCTAGTCTCAGCCTCCCGAGTAGCTGGGCCTCCAGGCACGCGCCACGGCTCCTAGCGATAAGGCAATTTTGTGAGCCAGAATCACTGAGTTTAGATACCACAGCCTACTCATATGTTAATGAAAATAGGTTAATGAAAGTACTGACCTCACAGGGGTATTTGATGAAATGTGTTAATATGGCTATGTTGTTGATATTGTTATCAACCATCATTATTATTATTTTTTCAAAAGTTTGTAGTAATAAACCGTTTTTAAAAGATTGGCTACATTGTGTTCACAATAATCTGTTCTCTATAAAGGATACCCTTTTAAATAAAATATTTACTGGCAAATTGCATCTGAGGCATTTTTTGAGTTGAATTTAGAACCATGAGCAATAAGATTTCAACATTAAAAATGTATGGTATATAAATGACTTTATACTAAGCTGTATCTAAAAATAATTGCTGATCAAGGTATTAAAACTTAAAAATGTAAAGTAAAAAGTTTTCTCACAATATCCTCTATTGCTTACTTATTAGTATTCTCCCTCAGTTTACTTGTATGAAAAAAAAAATATTGAGCAAGATAATCTCTAAGACATTTTCAGTCCTAAAGTTTTCATTGCATTTCTTGATTTTATGTCTCATTTTCAAAGGAAACTTTTGCACTCTCAGAAATAGTTAACAAAGTAAATGTTTGCTAAAAAGCATTTTGGCTTTAAGCAATAGATAGATTTAAGTGTTTCAGCTTTAAGGAATAGATAGATCATCCTTTGGATTTTTCTAAATGTTAGGTTTCCAAAAAGAACACTGGTAATTTAGTATAAAGAATAGCTTTGTTGAAAGTGAATGATAGGGTATTTATACAACAATTTAGTGAAATTAGAATCCTGAAAATTATTTTAGATAGAGGAGAAGGTAAATATTGGCTTAAATCACAGGAAACATTTCAGTTTTCTTCTCTCTCTGTAAGACAAAAGATATATCCACACCTGAACAGACCTTGTTGTGAGGTAATGATTATCTCCAAGGATCATTTAAATTTCAAAGAGATTTACAGGTTAATTTATGTTTCCAGATCTATCATTTTCCCTAGTAACCATTTATTGCCCTCCAACAGAGCTCTTCTCCCCCTCCCATACATAACCTGTCTTTCTGCAACCTCATTTTTTCTATCATTTCAAGATAACATCGAAGCTTCTGTACTCCATTAGAAAGTTGGTCTTCTTTCTGAAAGCTCTCTTGTATACACATTAAATACATTTCGATGTCTTTTCTATTAGTAATTAATTTGCCTCATGTCAGTGGTTTTTAGTGAAGCTTTAGGGAGCCAAAAGCCTTAACCCCTATAATAAAAAGTTGCAACACTAGTAGCTCAGAAATAAGCATACATGCAATATATAATTTTAGTAGGCTTTGAGTCCCTCGACTCAAATAAATTAATTATATATAAAGTTTTGGCATTAGATTTTTGAAACCAAAGTAATATCTTGAGGTAGAAAACTATCATATTTATATTTTAAAAATCCCTAGTTTGGGGATTTCAAACCATATAGATCAGGAACCTGAATAGAAATAAAAATAGTGAAGCAACCCAAGCAATTTTCTATTCTTTACCATATACATGTACACTTTATATATCCCATGTGAAAAATAAGTAGAAGAACCATAAAATTTACTGGGACACGGTGGTGGTGAAGAGGGATATGAATAGTTACAATACGATAATAAGTATAAAGCAGGACTATTACAAAAAAACAGGCACATATTATCATCCTAAGAGTTCATAAGGAAATTAGCTCTAATGATTTAAAACTCAATTTATTTTTTCTTTCTATGCTGTAAATACATAACCATGACAGTTCCAGTTGAAAAAGCATTTATTTTTCTACTTGTTTAACAAACATACATGTGTGTACTTTATGCCAAACACTGATCTACACAGGAAAGAGTATTAGTAATTTACTTTAGATGACAATTATTGAATGAAGTTACAGGTTTATAAACACAACTCTTAGTTAAGAAGCACTCAGCTGATATGTTCTGTGACGCCGAAACGTAGCAGATGATGATTTCTTAACTAATTTTTATAGAAATCTCAAAAACAACTTATTTCAGTTTAAAAGCCTAAACTATTTTCAGTATAAATTTTAAACCAAGTATATACACATTTATATGTTTAAAATTAAAGTAAATATAAGCAAATTATATTTTGCTTTATGAGCCATGTCTCACTAAAAACTGTTTGATTGCCTTAACCTACTGAATTTAAAAATAAGAACCATGCAACGGAGGCAATTTCTTTAAAAAGCTTCATAATGGTACAGACATTTCATACACAAGCTTAAAATGTAATTTGAAGATTTCTAAGGTAGAATTTTCTAGCTCTACCATTTGTAGGGATCCTCTCTGACTTCCAGAGTTGGCATAACATTTATTTTAAAGTAAAAATATTTGAACTACAGGAGATGGAGAAGAAATCTTGTCAGAACTTCTCTTATCTGATAAAGTTTAAGTTCCTCGAAATCTAGCTGTTATTAACCATCCCCAAAGGGAGTTTCCTGTGAATTCAGCTGCCAAGAAGATAATCCATTTCTGTTACCATTAAACAACACAACAGAATCTCTCATACTCTCTCATTGAAGCCCTAAAAACTTTCCTTTTGTTAAATTGATATATAGAAACTTTTAATTCCAGCTATTCTATGTCTTTGCTCATTATTGGGAGTTCCTTCATAAGCACAAAAATCAACATTGTCTTTTCTCCTGTCAATATGTATATTGTCCTTCAATTTGCAGGCCATCAACCACTGGGCCCAAGTGAGAAGAGAAAAAAGCAATTTTTACAACACATTCTTAGGTCTGTGATATAGTTTTGTCTTTTTTCTTTGAAAAAGCAACATTTTTTCCTTAAATTATTTCTAAATGATTTCTAGATAAGATAATAAGCTGTACTGTGGTCCAAATGTATTTGGACCATCTCCATGCCTTCCGATAGGTTTTAAATGTAGACATGTGGGGACACATTAATAAGATCCATGTACAAATGAGGATAAGAACCCTCTTTGGAACCTGAATCTGCCAATACCTTAGACTTCCCAGGTTTCAAACTATGACAAACAATTTTTTGTTTGTTTGTTTACAAGCTAACCAATCTACGGTATTTTGTTAGAGCTGTCCAAAGAAATGAAGACAAGGTAGTATTGTTTGAGGCAGTGAGTTTTAAATACATCCACATTACTCAATGTTAAAACTAGGAATATCAAAATTTTATTTAAAAATAGTTATGAGATTAGAAAGATTATATAATTTTAAAATGACATGGTAATTTGGAATGTACAGAGAGTTTATGTAAATGTTTGATGAATGAATTATTGTAATCACTAATTCAGTTGTAGTTGTGAAGAGATTTTTAAAGTTACTCTACAAATATAGCAAAGATAAATTAAGTAGAATTACACAGTTATTCCATAAGAAATAAATAATATACAGAACATAAAATATTCTACAAACTAAAATACAATAGCAGTAATAGCTTGACTACCTTTCAAGAACTTTCTGCAACTGAGAAACTTGAAAGCAAGGGGCCTAGCCACTGAACACAAAACCACTAGCTGGTGATAGTCCCAAAGATAGAGCTTGCAGCTAGCTCTCAAGTAAATGTTAAATAACAAATGAGAAAATTCACCTCAGGAGAGTAACCAAGCCAAAAAGTGCCCTTTTATCTGAAAATTATTTTTTAATGTTATCCTAAGAGATATTCTAAAAGTATTTACGAACACTCACCAACGTGGTTTGAATAGCCA